ATATTGATGTGGAGCGGGATCTCAGACTGTGATCACCTGCCCCGAGTTTGTAGATCTCCTAGGTGGGCCCCCTAACCCAGTTCTGATGCATCCGTTACTAACGGGGTGAATAAACAAAGATTAAAAAAAAAATTAAAAATCAGATTATTTTTTATTTAAATTGGATTTGTGAATGCAGAGATAACATGCTTGTTAACTGCAACAATGTTTTAAATAAATAAATAAAATAATATATAGAGATGAGAAATAACAGACCTCAACCCTATTATCCCTCTGCAAATATGTGTACACAGAGTCAAACCCTTCTCTAAAAGTGCAAACTTTCAAAAAGTTCAATGAATAGCAGATTGTTGGGGGCGGAATAGATCTGGACAAGAAGAAGAAGTCTGGAGATAAATGTGAGAAGGGAGGGACAGACAGTAGAAACAAAAAAGTGAAACTGTTTGAGCAGCATATTCCAGAAGTCTTGAGGTCTTTCTGAGTGTAGCCTTCATTGATTTGAGACCTACCATACCATTCTCTCACTAGAAGGGAAAACCTATAATGGCAGCAGGCTGTAAAAGAGACCCCGTTTGGGAATAAGAACCATTCAAGAAATATATGTTTGCTGATGATGTTTTAAAGAAAGTCACACCAGTGAACACCGGAATTCAGACACTGTTGAAGTGGTAATCTCACTTTTAACAGAAGTAGCTTCTTTTGCCTGTTTAGAAGGAATATTTTCTTCCTTTGGACTAATTCATTCCAAATTGAGAAATCGTTTGGGACCTGAAAGCAGGAAAGCTTGCTTTTCTTTTCCAGATTATGAACAAACAGGTGAAGATGACTGAGTTAGCTGCAGAAGCCAATATTTTAAGTTTCTCATACTGACCTGGCTGACAGTTGATTGATTTATTTATTTTAATATTTCATTTAACTATTTTAGTTAAAAACAATTTTAACAAAAACAAACCTGATTTTAAAAATCCTGAATGTTTAACTAAATTCAAAAATTCATATGCTTGTTTTGTTAAAATATCATATGTTTGCTGTTGAAGAAAATAATCCAAAACACATAACATTGTTGTTTTAGTTAAATAAAACAATTTAGATGTCTGTCTGGTGATGTTCTCCTCCTAATACAGCATGGCAAGAAAATCCTCCAAATATTAATGATCAACCTGTTGAATTGGAGATAGTTCACCTCCCAATGACTTTATAAATATTTGCTTCAATTACCTTTGGTAAATGAAATAACCAGTCATTCATTTTCTGATATAGCTGTAAAACTAATCTGAAAAGTTTTCAAAATAAATCACTTTAAAAATGTATAGTGTGTACCTTCTAAAAATGAAACCTACATCTATCTTTGAGTTGTGAAGAAAATGTATTAAGGTTATAACAACCAACAAGAATGCACTTTTATGTAGAAATCCATGATTAAATCGAGTCTTCCTGACTAGTGATTTAAATCATGATTTAAATCAATTTGATTTAAAATCAAAACCACCCTGGTTACTAAGGTCATGGAGAGTTGAGGGGTGCTGAACGGGACTCCTTCACAGACCATGCAAAGGTCCAGCCACCAGCACAGGGTATCTAAGACTCGCTCTGGCACTGCTACTACTGAGTCCAAACTGTCTCGACCTGGGTGATAAGCTGAGGCAAGCCACACTAGAAAACGCACTGATTAAACAAGAATATTGATGGTCTTCCTCTAAAAGCCTGCCCTCTGTTCAGCCTATACATAATTATTGTTGAGATTAACTATACTACGCACACACACAGAGTAACCAAGATACAGATGCTGTGAGATCCATAACTAAATATCCTCAATTTTGTTTCAGTTACCAACTATAAATGTTGTATTAATATAGTTTGACATTAAATTTTCCTTAAATCAAAAGATTTAAGAATATGAAATCTTGATGGAAAGGAAATGGCTATAGTTGCTTTTGTGTGTGCGTATCTAGTGCTTCACACCGTAAATAATTCCCTCCAACCCCGTTTTTAGACTTTATTGTCTTCACAGTAAATAGTAGGAGGAAAGAGATGAGATCTGATGCACAAACTCACTTGGAGCCACTATTTTAAGGAGCTGAGCAGTTCTTGAGATGACCTGAGCACCCTCAGCTCTCTTTGATTTCAGGCGTGTGTCAGGAGTAAAGGATCACTGCTAGCCTGCTTCCCTACTAGCATAATCCCCAGTCAGTCTAATGAGTAGGCCCCAATTGAGCCTCCTCATAGCCCAACCACCCAGATGGCTGAGGGAATTGACAGACCTGCTCTTAAACCAAGCAGCAGGGCCCTGGCTACTCAAAGCATTTGCCCGCAGCTGCGCTAGCTCCTTCTCCTGCCTTGTTCCTGCTCTGCCCTGTCCCAGCCTTGGACCCAGCCCTTCTCCTGCCTTCTCTGACTCTTGGTGACTCAGTTCTGAACTTTGGTTCTGATTCCTGACTCTGGCCTCTGGCTCTGACACACTCACAATCTGTTTCCTTGCTCCCACCTCGTGCTCTGACTACCAGACCTGACTGCCCATGTCCCAGTCCCTTTATCAGTAATGAGTTATAAATAAAATAGACTAGAAGCAGTAGCAACCTCTATTTAGGTTACTTAACACTCTTGATTATAAAATAAAATGTCAGAAGAATTTTTAGAGCTTTTACAACTCTTTGGTTTGCAGCAGGAACTTGATATTTGGCAGAGGAAGTCTGTCTTTTGTGCCCACATGAAAATCCATTCAGCTGTGTGCGAGTTATGAGCTGTTGAAAAGCTCCATTTTTCCTTCTGTGTTTGGTTCTTTTTGCGAAATTTTAACATGTTAAAGCTATACAACATACAACTTACGGATTTCTTCAACAACATCTGGATCACATTCTTTGTATTTGTCTATTTCTGCTTTTAGGTGCTCTTTTTTCTGCCGGAGAGCAGCAAGTTCCTTTATTAGGGCAGCACGTTCTGCCTGGGTTCAGAGCATTTTGGGAGAAACCAACAATAAAGAAAATTAAATAGGCAGTGATTATACTACTACTACACATTTATGCCAAATGCAAATATTATTTTACTCTCCAAAAAAATATGATAAACTGCCAGGTGTTCCATTTCCTAGTATTTTAAGGTAGGCAAACCAATCCTGCACTTCATGCACATTCAAAATGCCCTGTGTCAAAGTGGGTCTTCAGTGCATAATGAAGGCAAGATCAAGGCAAAGTGGTTAAACAAATCAAAATTATTCTAAGTAACCAACCTGTTGTTTGTTCCTAGTTATACACACGGGTAAATAAGGATTGGGACCACATTTCAGACCCTCACCACCTATACACATTTTGATCAATCAATAACTAGCAATTGTTTCTTTAGTGTACCTGACTGCTTCCACTGTGCCCTTACTGTACTGTAAACACACTATTATATGTAATCTTGATAACTATTTAGCAATTAAAAATATGCCAGCGCAAGTATACCAACAATGAAACACCCAGTTTCCAGTTTAGATTAACTTGTGAGGCAGAAATATAAATATAGTGAATCAATTAAATGCAGTACTCTGTTAATTGAACTTGAACTTTATTATGATAGTTGAGAATAGTGTAAATGAGAAAGAGAATTCTAGCTTAATGTTAAAATCAAAACACATAATATTAGAAGAGCCACACTCTTCCATTCTAAACACTTTAACACAGGGGTTCTCAAACTGGGGGTTGGAACCCCTCAGGGGATCACGAGGTTATTACATGGGCGGTCGCAAGCTGTCAGCCACCACCCCAAACCCTGCTTTACCTCCAGCATTTATAATGGTGTTAAATATATAAATAAGTGTTTAATTGAAAAGGGGGTTTGCACTCAGAGGCTTGCTATGTGAAAGGGCTCACCAGTACAAAAGTTTGAGAACCACTGCTTTAACGTGGATATAGCATCTCTGAGAGAGTCTCTTTCTTCCTACAGTAATTGATTACTCAGAGTACTGAATGAATAATAATAAAATTTAAAATATAGCCCATTTTCAAGAAGAGACTTTACATTATAATTTTATCACCAAAGGTACCATACAGTAGACCACTTAGTGAGAGTAACAAAAATCTATTACAAAGTTATACACATGTATTGTAGGCTGTAGAAAAATTGTATTATGTTATTTGAGAACTAGTATGCGGTCATGTAATTCAAGATTACAATGTGTATCGTAACACATTAATCCTTAACTTTCACATTTTCTGATACCCAGATACTTCATTGTGCAATACTAACATTCTCAACAGTTTTTTTAATGGAATTATTGTTTCCATAACAAAAACCTTACCTTTGTTTCACATCATTTTGGGGCAGCAGCAACCTCCCAAGTACAAAAACTAATTCAAATATTTCAGATCTATACTGTCCCGCCGAAAAATAATGTAACATCATCTACTTCAAATATACTACTGATCAGTAAGAATCTAGATTTATCTGTCCCAATGCTTAGTTTAGCTAGGATACTGTATGAAACACATTTCCACCTAACATGCCTATGAAGTGGCATGTTTTAAGTTTAGTTTGACAGTGTTCCTTCAACAGTTTCAACATAGAAAGGATCTTTGTTAAATTTAGCCAAATTAAAATCAATATACAAAATTTTAAACAACCACCTAAATTCACAGATAACTAGGTTTATTTGGCTATTCAGCAGCCTCTGGGCATTTCAGCACATACCTATGATTAGGTTAGTTTGGGGGTTTGTTTGTTTGGTTTTCAATCTGATCCAGGTTTATGAAGAGCAGCTCTGAAGCAAATCACCAAATTTCCTACCCTGTGAAACACCCAACCTGGTACTCACCACAGATCAAAAATCAGCTGTGAATCAGCAATGAAGGAAAGGGCTGTCTAGCAAGCCTGATATTTTCCCCCTCCCTCATCCTCTCTTCCAATATTTAGCCATTCTATTAAGATTTTCAACGATTTTATATAAAACTAACATATTAACATCTACAGATTGTACATCCTCACAGCAAGATTCTTTAATGAAAAAATGGACAAAAACTTACAGTCTCTTGGCGTCCGATTTTTGATTTCTCAATGCTTTGCTGTAACCTCTCTTTCTTCTGGCTACTTTCAGCCAACTGAGGAAGGAAAAACAGAATCCAATCAACATATTTTATTAGCTATTTAAAGGTTTGATTTTATAAACGTATTCATAGACCGGGTGTCATATATTGAGTTTTCCCCTTCATGGCACATAATTTTGCTACCTCATTCCATCACCAGTAACAGCCCTGTTTCATAGCAAACCCAAGAAGCAAACCTTGGTATAAGAGGCTACATGATACAGAAACATAATGCTGCTGTTACCTCTCCCACCACTGTACCCCTACTCCATGCGAGCAATGACTAATGTGTGCATATTGTGACAGATCCACCTGCTGTTTCTGACCCTTCCCAAAGTCTGCCAAGTCCTGGGCACTGCCCCAACCACCTGGTTTGTAGTAAGCTCATGGAGTGCAAAGTTGTGGTCCCCAAAATCCTGCTCCCCTGTTCTGCTAAATTGCACGGATGATGCTACGGCTGGAGCAGTCTGCGTGTATGCGTGTGGGAAACTGCACAACTACTCACTTGTTTATATAGCATCCACTTTCAAATATTACCTCCTATTCTGGACAAGATTTACCAATATACTGAGCAACTGTAAACATGCTCTGAAAGAGTGGAAGTTTCCCCCTCCCCCATTAACAGTGATCAATTTATATAGAAGTTACAGTAACAAGTAAGGCACATTTGGGTGAATTAAGTCCAACTACTCCCTCATTGCTGTCAGTGAAAATAACCACAAGCTCAGTGAAGACTTGAAAGAAAATTATTTTCAGTGCTTATGGATCAATGTCCTAATAGCGAAAGCACATGATGGGGTACTTGGTGGTGTCTGCCAAGTCCACCAAATCACACCAGGGAACAGGATGACCGGCCCCTTGAGCACTTATCTATACTGTTTATGAAAAAAGGCTGCATGATCACAGTGGGAGACTTCAGTCTGAGTCACATATGCTGGAGGGCTCATGCTGCCAGTACTAAAATGTCCTCAGAATTTCTAGATATTACAGATGACAATTTTCTAACTTAAGAAGTGCTGAATACAACATGGGAGAATTCTACAGAAGACCTCAAACTAAAATTTGGTGGTTGGTTAGGTACAAGCGATCATGACTTGATCACATTTGTTATGTGCGAACAGTATGAAGTCCAAATAAGTACTTACACTCTGGAGAAGAGCTCTGTGTGGCTCGAAAGCTTGTCTCTCTCACCAACAGAAGTTGGTCAAATAAAAAGGTATTACCTCACTCACATCATCTCTCTTATATCCTGGGACCAACACAGCGCACACACACACACCCCCCCCACACACACTGCTATAAAACTGCCAATTTCTCAAAGCTGAAAACAATTATGAGCCAAATCAGGTAAAAGAATTTAAACAGAAAAATATGAATTATAATTGGGAATTATTTAAGAACATTTTACTAAATGTCCAAAAAGCCTCAAGTGAGAAAGGAGGCCTCACGGGTTAAAAAAACAGCCTGTCTTAGAGGAGTAGTGAAAGCAACAAAAAAATATATATAACAACTATAAGAAAGGGGAAGTTGATAGTAATGAAATAAATCAGAAGCTAGGAATTGTAAGAAATTGGTAAGGGAAGCATAAGGATACAGGGAGAAATCTATGGCCACCAGCAGTAAAGACAATAAGGAGGAGGTTTTTTAATTAAAATTTGGCTATTTGACAGTGAGGAATCATCATCAGAGAACATGTTTCTAGTGGGGTCCCACAGGGATCAGTTCTTAGCCCTTTGCTACTTAATATTTTTATCAATAATCTGGGGAAAAAATGAAATCAATCGATAATATTTGCAGATGACAAAAAGTTGGAGGAGTGGCAAATAATTAAGAGGACAGGTCACTGATAGAGAGCAGTCTGGATCACCTGGTAAATTTGGTACAAGCAAACACTTTGTGTTTCAATAAAGCCAAATATAAAAAGTCATACATCTAGGAACAAAGAACGTAGGCCATACTTACAGGACAAGGGACTCTATCTTGGGAAGCAGAGATCTGAAAAGGACTTGGGGGGTCAGGGTGGTAATCAGTTGAACACGTTGTTCCAGTGCAACCACTGTGACCAAAAGGGCTAATGTGATCCGTGGATGCATAAACAGGGGAGTAGTAAATAGGAGCCGGGAGGTTATTTTACCTCTGTATTTGGCACTGGTGCAACCGCTGCCGGAATACTGTGTCTGGTTCTGGTGTCCACAATTCAAGAAAGACATTGATAAACTGACGAGGGTTCAGAGAAGAGCCACAAGAGTGATCTTCAAGGAGGTTAATCTGTTTCATTTAACCCAGAGACAGTTATGGGGTGACTTGAACAGAGTCTATCAGTATCTCCAAGAGTAACAAATATTTAATAATGGGCTCTTCAGTCTAGCAGACAAAGATATAACAAGACCCAATAGCTGGAAATGGAAGATAAACACATTCAGATGGAAAAAAAGATGTAAAATTTTTTACCAGTGAGGGTAATGAACAACTGGAACAATTTACTAAGGATCACCAAGTGATTCCCCATCACTGGCAATTTTTAAACCAATATTCTCAAAAATATGCTCTAGTTCAAATTATTTTGATGAAGTTCTATAGCCTGAGTTATACAGTTATTCAGACCACAGTGGAATCTACTGCCCTTAGAATCTATGAATGTGTACTATCAGCACACTCAGGGTATATATACCCTGCAAAAAAAGATGTATTCTTAACTTGAGGTTAGGTAACTTGGATTAAAAATAGAAGCAATGATACAGCAACTCAGTCTTTAACTCAGGTTGGCAGCTTGAGGTAAAGCCTTTTGGAAAACCTAGGGTTGAACTCGAACTTATGACATGAGTTGCCATGCCTATTTTAACCCAAGTTAGGACACATGGGGGGGGGGGGGGAAGAACCACAGAAATATCCTCATTACTGTGGCTGGCCACTGGGCTAACCCCTTAGGCATCTCAATAATTCAAATAAAAGTTTGATAAAGGAACGTTAATCCCTGCCTTGCAGGGAGTGTTGGGGTGACCAATTATATCATGTTTGTTCAGCACTTTGGAAGAAGTACTATTGTCTACCTTCCAGTTCAGTTTGTAATAAAAGGATGCAAAAATAAATGGACAGTGAAGATTTACAATACATTGTATAATGGTCATTGCTAGGATTCTATTGAGTCAATTCACTGATATATGTATGCTTTGAAGAGGAACATTTATACATGCCCCCTGCATAAGAACAGTAGTTTTCACAGTTTCACACCCCTTGCTCTTCCTTGTGGTGCAGTCAAAGACTGAAACCTTCCTGAAATCTGTCCCAATACATGCATTATCTTAAAGTGCTGATCTCTTATTTTTCAGAACAACAGTGAAAATTTTTCTTGGATATCTTCCTTCTAGATCCCAAATTCTCAACCTCTCTAACCACTAATATCCCTCCAACCATGTAACCTGCCTTTCTATCACATTAAAAACAGCTATAAATCTGCCACAAGTCATGCAAACATAGACTCCAGTGTGTATACTGGACAGAAATCAAACCAAAGGTCCCATATGCCAACCACCAAGAGCATTTTTCAGCTGTTACACTGGTATCATTTTGGTCTTTAAAAGAATCATCATCATAGTTGGTTTTCTTTGAGTCAAGGAACCTGACCAAAGATGGTAAGACAACATAATTACCATAGCAGGTGGAGATGGAACTCGGTAACCATCTTGTGCACTAACAACCATTCCAATGTCCCTTTTTCAGACACTCATAATTTAGTCAAATTAATTCCTTCTGGGTTTAAATTCTCCATGCTTTGTCTCAGTCCAGAGGTTAGCACTGGTGTGCTTTTTCGTTTGAACAAAAAACAGACTGTTTTGTATAAAAAAAACTGCATGTATAAAAAAATTATATGCTCCTGTCTATATTATAGAAACCTTCTTCATCACTGAAGAGATTAGATAAACTGGATCTCAGAAGGTACGAAGAAGAGGGTAATTTTACAGCATTTATTAGGCTATATTTTGTTTTGATCAGCAAATATATGGAAGAGTAACTCATCAGCTGAAGGTAGAAAGCAGTCTAACAAAATACAGATATACAGAACAGAGTGGAATCTAGTGAAATTCATCTAATAAAACATTAAAAATAGACAAGTTAAAAATCATAATCCTTGCACTAAAACAAAGTGTATACAACACTACAAAAATAGCACTCTCCAACTATTACTAACTAAAGCTATTTATAAAGTAGATCAGCCTGTAGGCCAAGTCACTGTACTGAATTGGTTTCTGCTGTACTACTAGAGTTACATTGAACTGCAGACTCAAAGGTCTGTTGATACAATTATTTATCTTATACATATATAGTTCCAATCACACACTTGCTGATTAAAGCAGGGTACAGATATTTAAGATATATGTTTGCTAGCTAATTACACTGCCAGGAAACTCACAACAGAAGCAGTGCATCTGTGATAAAAAGTGTACCAGACAGCTGTTTTGCTCTGCTCTCCAGAGATTACCGATACCAAAGGCATTATCATCATTCACAAAGTGCCACTTAGGTACATAAACACTGCACAATAACTAAACTGAATCCAAGTAGGAACAGGTCCCACAATGACACACTGGATACAGAAAGAAACAGTTTCAGGGAAGGACAGAAAGAATGGGACATGTTTATTATATACCACATAATGTCAAAAAAATAGGTTTTTAAAGAAGTTTCTGACATTGTAAGGAAAAGGAGAAACTTGAAATACATTAATTGGGCAGTTGTTCCAAGCCTGCTGAACAGCATGAAAGAAGGGATAGAATCTGCACCTAGTGAAGGAGTCAAAGAAAGCAATCAAAATAGTGAAGCACAGGAAGTATAAGAGAAGATGAAGGCAGAGCTATAAGAAGAATCTTGACTTCAGACAATGGAATATGCATAATAGGCTTCCATAGAAGGGGAAAAAAAACCATAAGAGGGATGACAAGTAGAATGGAAAAATGGAGAACAGCAAGAGTAAGAAGCAAGAAACCAGTCCCACTACATTTCTAGACTCCTGAGGG